TCTATAGACATATATGGAATGCAATTTAATATAAATGGAGCTACCTGAAATATCAGGAGGTTCCTTTTCAAAGTCCAAATGTTGTGTGTTTGTGATAGACACGGATAACGAAGACTTTATATCTTCCGATGTTAAATGTATATGTTAGTTGGTTTTAAAAACTGCTAAGGTAGACTATTGCTTAAGTTCGAGGAATATATTATTCCAGAGAAAGGCATATTTAGAGGCAAAAAACGACAATAATTAGATGTGGAGCTATAGGTTGGTGAAATTATCATGGAGGAATTACGAGTGGCATGCGGCCTATGGCGTACTGACGATCGGTACCAACCATGAAACAGCTCTATGCATTTGGCGTTTTGCACCTCTAGCAACTACTATATTTATCAGATTATTCTCTGTTAGGTAACACACCACTTTTTCTTTGATCAAGGCCTCCAATAGCTTCAAGGCTGCGGGAAGTGTGTTTATTGAATTAACTTCGTCAAAGGACGTAGTCCGTCCGTGTTTGGGGATAGGCGGAGTGTGCGATTCTTTCCGTTAAGTGGAAAAGGCCAGGTTTTCGAGGGCAATATTAAATATCGTACACAGAATGGATGGAAAAATACAATTTGCATCAGCCTTTACAGTAATGACCGGACATTATCTGATCCAGGATTATGAGATTTGTTAAAAAATTAGAATGGTTACGATCACGTTCCAGATGGCAAGAGTCATTGTTTCTAGGACGACACCGGCCAAAACCTAATTTTCGGAAGTAAAGCGACAGAAGTATCAAGAAACGTTCTGAACAGAAAAGTGTTCACGCCATCAGCCGTCAACTTGGCGTCAGCAATGGGGTATCCTAAGGTTCCTCGACGTATGGAAGGCCACTTTTATCTATGCGCTCCTACTGTGTGGGAGAAGAGATTCGCAACGTTAAACGAAGGTTTTTTGCAAATTTGACTTTATTGGCTGACTGTTTTTCTTCGGAGAGCCTCTTACGTTGCTTCAAGATAAGTCGGATCTAGCACAGAACGGAAGTGTCGTTTGGTAGATTAAATTGACTTGTGAGTATACGCAGTCAACGACGAGAAGATAAAGGGAGATAGACCCTGTACCTGACATCATTTGTTTTCTTACAGGGAACAAAACCATAAATGAGTGTTTCCTATACTTTGTACAGTTCGTCAATAAAAATATTCACACTCATGCATAAGAAGAATTTAGGCCAATTATGGAAAATAAGATGTGCCAATAATTCCACGGAAACTGCTGATCAGAAATCAAAGAAAAGAAAACTATTTCATCAGCTTCGAGTTCAAGTGTTGAAACAACTATGGCATCGACTGAGCTCCCAAGTAGATCTACAGATGACATTGACAATATCTGTCAATACACACAGAAGTGAGCACAAGTATGTACAAGGCGAAGATTACTAGATTAGCAGAATTTAATGACGTCATAAATTTCGCGACCTCTCATTCAGCTGCAGACGGTCGTTGCAGCTTTGCACGAAATGCCTGCGAGAGAAAAAGATCTTAATACTCACGGGCGTTGGATCCTTTGGACACACATCAGGCATTCAGTCCTTAGGTTTTGACTGTCTGTTGCTGAATACATCTTTGTGGATTAAAACAGCCGGGCTTGAATTCGATTATATTAGTATCAATAGTAGGATGTTAATACAAATCTC